AAGGAGGAGAAATATTCACCTATCTCCAGTGAAACTACTCGCACCAGCAGCGCCTCATTAAGAAGAATGGATTCAAAATCTCCACCCTCTCGCAGTAATGAAGTCTTTATGACGGACCATAGTGCAGTAACGCCTTCGTCAAAGATGATGCCAGCTCTCACGCCTGTAGGATCCGCTGAGTCGAAGACTAGTAACAGCGGTAAGCAGTCACGGAAGAGGAAATCATCAAAGACACCTACTGCATCCAAGTCAAGAAGAAGTAATGTGCAGAAGAAGTCGCCAGAAACTGATATGAGATGTGGTACCAAAAAGACGTCTCCACCGAAGGGAGCTAACCCAGAAGCAACACCCAAGATTGTGCTCTCTGTAAATCTGAATGCCTCTAATAACTCTACAAACTCTCGAAAAAGGAAACCGTCTCGGACACCAAGAACAGCATCCAAGTCAAGAATAACTACACAGAAGAAATCGCCAAAAGCTAGTAGGGCGAGAAGTACCGAAGCGGCGCTTTCGTCGAAAAGACCTAAGGCACAAGCAACTCCCAAGATTGTGATGTCTGCTGATTCGAGTGCTAGTAGTACTGGAAATGGATCAAGATCTCGGAAGAAGGATTTGTCTCAGTCTCAACTAACACCATTTACCTCCAGATTGAGAACAAATAGGGCACAGCGTCAACCATTTTCATCCGCGAGTACTCCATCAACAACAAAGAAAAGAACCCGTGGTAAATGTCAAACACCCCATGCCGCAGCGACCATCGCTTCCCCTAAGAACGAGTCGAACTCCTTTGAGACGCCAAAGATCGTCGAATCACAGATGTCACTGGTACCTGGCAGCAAAAGCAAGAAGCGGACTTCCAAAACTCCCAAAAATGTGGACAGTCAACCACGTGCAAACAGTAGTTCTAAAAAGAGAGAAGAAAAAGTTGCGAAGACATGCTTGATGACGAGCGCTTCCAATGCGAACATCTCAGCGGAGCAGGAGACTTCTTTCCTGACCAAATGTAGCCCAGAAATTCCGCTTCATGGGAATATTGAGGGATCAGAAAAGAAACTTATGCCCAAAAGCGCGAAAGTTGCTGCGAAAGCACAGCGCAAGCTACGATCAAGAAGAAAAGCTTTCACCCCAGGGGTTCAGAAGCTTTCGAAAAAATCGAAGAGATCAGAAACCATATCGAAAACGAAGAATGTCAAGGGAAAAAGAAAGTCATCGACGAAGAACTATGTGATTTTGGAAGACGCGGTCGATCAGTCAAACAAAATTGGAAACGCAGAAGACGCTGCTCCGCCAGTCCACAAGAATTCTCCTGTTCCACTCAGCTCACAGAAATGGTCTACATCTACAAAGCTCGGAAAGAGGAGGTTGGCGAGCGTTCATTCAAAGTTCATAATTCATCGATTCCATTCCAGATCAGATGATAGCGATTTCGAACGAGTTGTCACACCGCTCATTGGGGAGGCTGCTGCATTTGACTTTTGGAATGGGGTATGTCGTAAGAATTTTATACTTATTTTTCTAATTTTTGTTTTTTCTTACAGAATGTCAGCAGCGTTGTGGAATCTTACGACAATAATTTCATGTGCTTTGGCAAACCTACGACTATACTCGGTTTTGATGCTGGTGATGTGAGGTGTGTTCGGTCGTTTACAGTATTCTATACTTTCTGGGCATTAAGATCCACTAAATCGGCGTATATATGACCGCATCTTTTCTTCCGTATGTGTTCGCAATTACTTATGATTTAGGCGAAGTTGTGGGGAAGACGCTCAACAAAGCACTCTTTCTGCGTTTCTCAACTGTGCACGAAAGTATTCCTTATCCGAAGCAGAAAGGTAACTTGACACTTGAAGCATTTTCACCTCATTTTCAATTTTGTTCAATTTTTGCTTTTTTAGCGTCTCTGTGGATGGAGCTATGAAAGAAGATCGTAGAGCTATGGCTGCTGCGAGAAATCGTAATCGACAACTCATATCGGGCTATTACGTCTGAC